AATGAATAAATAAATAAATAAATAAATCTATTGTGGTTAATCTATATTTATATCTATTGATGATCCAAATTGTTAATCCGTGATGGATCTAGGTCTAAAACATTATGTTGTCTTTTAGATACACCAATTCCAATGCTGTTATTTAATGGCGACTTAGTTACCTGTCTTGGGGAGGATGCAAATCCACCGCCGATTTCGTATGGAATATATTTCGATGGCGTACAACAACAAGTTATCAATGAAAATGAAGCTAAACTTAAACAAAACACATGTGACGTTAACATTACGTGTTTTGTAAAAAATGCTGTTGGAACAGGAAGTGACATGGAAATATTTTGTCCTCAGGGTAAATATGAATGGTCCCTAATGAAGTGATTATGACTGAAAACATGATAATAACAGGACAATTTTGATACTTGATACTAAACGTAGTCTTAATACAATCAACAACTTTACCCGATTATGGCGAAAGTAGAGTTCTATCTCATAGTTTGGTCGTTTCTTTTTCTGTTTTAGATATCAATCCACCAGAAAAACAAACCGGTAAGATTGCGTATCGTGTATAGCTTTTATTTAATTGTGTTCTTTTATAAGACCAAATAGACGGATGATATTATACTTTTAATGAAAATCACGTACCCTGGCTCACGGAAGTATTTTGCTAATTATGAAGTTTCAGATATCATTCATTAATGCTATTATATATTATATTATACTGGTATATAATACTAAAACAAATAAATAAAATTAACTCTTTTATATACAACAGGTCTGGAAAGGGGCGCTGTTGCTGGTATTCTGATTGGCGTCACCTTAGTATGTACAGTGGTTGGTGTTCTTATATTTTTAGTCGTGACAGGTAAATACGTTAACATCTGTAATTGGAAAAATATAGCACTCGGTTTCTCTGAATATAGACTGTACCTGACTGTTTTAACTTACTGGCATTATCACAACTCTAAACAGTACCGTAGAAATTTTATCCGTCATTGTCGCTATTACGCAGAATCATGCGTGCGGGCAGCTTGCGTCAGATGTGAACCTCTCTAAATCTTTTTCTTTTACTTTGTTCTATTACACCTTCATGGTTTATTTAAGTAGAATACTTGTTTGAGTATTAAGGGGAGAAAAGGCCAAGCAGAAAAATGTAGTACAAAGTATACAAAGTGTATATAGATCTACAAATAACTTTAAAGACTATCGGTATTAAAACAATAATAGTAAAATGATCAATAAGGATTGCGTTATTCTTCTTATTGTCATAGGGAAAATTACTTTTAAACACGGCGAATTTCCAGTTCAGGATACGTAAGTATTACTCAACACTTCCTCATCATTTTATCTTTCCATTCTGCGACCGCATGGGTACTTCGGTATAACTCTGTATTTCCTATAAAGTTCGGCGCTCTCGACTACCGTACTTTGTGTATAGGCCTATTATATCCTATATACTGTATTTGTTCGCAATCGCAGATTTTTCTTCATTACCGTTTTTTCACATGCTTTAAATCATGTTCGTCAATTATACAAAATGGTCTATATTTCTAAATTTGTTTTTCAGTGGCGAAAAATGCGATTGGCCAGAGTCATTTGATGCGGAGCCTGGAGTGAGCTCAAAACACCAAGACTTTGACAGTAGCAACTCTAATTGGATCTAGTTATGCTTACATTTACGATTGGCAGATTCTATGAAATCAGATTTGTGATAAATGAAATACGAGATAGGCTTAAACCAATAGTGTTAAGCAATAATTAGTTAACTTAAATTATTAAATATTATACACATCAGTCACATGTAAAACAATAAACGACGCCTCTGGTACGGTCCGGGCCGCCTTAAATTTTTTTAAATTGTAAATGAAATGGAAAAAAGGGGAAATTTCAACCAAATTTTGGTCTGAGAGTGCCATTTCTGGCCATCTGAGGTGCCATAATCAAACATTTTCTTACCTCAGCCCCAACCATGGTGGGGCTGAGGTGGTGTACACTCTCCATCTGTGAAAGTCCCCATGGACCCCCTCTATTTCGAATTCCTGGATCCGCCCCTGTTACACTCATAAAACATTCTTGTTTATAATGATTATTACAAAATAAAAAAGCAAAGAATAGTAGTTTTAATGTTTGCTTCAATTTCCTGTTTTTGATATAATAATAGTTATAAATTTTATCTCCGATGCTTTGTTTTAACCGGTTGTTTAACCCCAATTGCTTTTAGTGTCTTTAATCCCTTTTAATGTTATTGCATCCGTTTGGTTGTCCTCCACTTTTCCCTATTGTCCCTCATGTTTTAATTGTATTCGAGATTTTATTTTCTGTTGATTCTTATTTGGAAATTTTTAATGTTTAACTTCAATTTGTGGAAGCGGTTGGCGCATCGGTTGTGGCTTGGACTCCCAACCTCGAGGTCGGGGGTTCGAAACTCTCGTTGTGCAAATCGCTTGTGTCCTTGGGCAAGGCACTTTATCTACAACGGTTGCCTCTCTCCACCCAGGAG